TTAATTGGTTTAGGATCGTTGGTATTTTTATTGCATCTATAGAGCACTCAGTGACTAGTTTTATGGGCAACTGTAGTTTAAGTAGTGCACCCTATATACCCCTAGTCCCAGCATTTTTTCCTATGGAAACGGTGGTTTTAGGGGTTTTATGGGTAGGGAATTAGGATAGGCAGTGGAATATACTTTACTAACTGTTATATGCATTTTTATTTTATTGTATTTAGAATAAAGTTGATTTAAATCTGTACGATTTCCTAGTCTGTATTATCGTTTAACGTATTGCAAAGAAATCCGAGTAGATGGAAAAATTTCGTTGGGAAGCGCTAACAAACATTATTGTAAGTTTTCAACTCTGAGGCACCAAGTCGTCATCAGACGCGTGGATAATGTGTACAGAACAGTGAGTATTTTATACATACCGAAAAAGGCGATAATGCTCAGTCCTCTTTGGTCAATAGCAGGGCTTGGTAGTTGACGCATTTTTCAGACTTCTCTGAGATTGGTGTATAACGCATCCAATTCGACGTGCCTATTAATGCACGAGTCGTCTTAGTTAATGGCCCCTTAAAATTCGCGGCCTTTCTTAGATGGGCAGGAGCCTACAGTGTGAGTTTGGTCCCCCGCGAATCTATTACTAATTTCAAGTGTATGTATGGGGACATGGGGCAGGTGATCTCGCCTTCTTACTGCTCATTGGTGTTCTTGTGAGGGTGTGTAGGCTGACCTTCCTGCCTGTCCACAATAGACTGCATTGAAGTCGCCACAAGAAATTTTGTAAACTACTTATTTTATCTCCAAATAGCCAACCCTATCTTTACAGTCGTAGTGGTACGTCGGGTTTGTGTATCTTAGGCAGTCCGTAGGTCTTGCTATGTTTGGTTAGGTTTCTCTCAGAGACTTGACAATATTGCCTGATATTTGATTTTTCCCTGTAAGGCGTTCAAGTACCTTTTCAATAGTTGCATTGTGTGTTTTCGTGGGGTCCGCGCTTATAGGTTTGAAGATTGACTTGTCTTCTAGTAGTGAAAGCATCTTTGCATCGTAATCTGTTTTATTCAAGATGGCAGTTGAGCCTCCTTTATCAGCAGGAAGAATAACGATGTTTTTGTCCGTTTTGAGAGATTTTAGTGTCTCCTCTTCTTGTGATAATAGTGAATAGGAAGGTCAGTTCTTTAAGTCGTGTACAGTGTTATTCCGGATTGTAAACCGCGCATCGTCTGTGAGCTCTTCTGTTGATATTATGGAATCTAAATTTGAAAGAAAGTCTAGATATTTTGAATCGGCAAGATTCTCTTTCACTACCATAGAAAGCACGTGTTTTTCGGTTGTTGTGAGATTTCTCAATGACGCTTTTTTTACATTTGTTGAGAAATTCTAGCTTGTGTACAATAGTTTGCTAATGGCCATCCATTTCTTGTCTAAAACATCTCTCTCCTGTCGTTTAATGTTGGGAAGACGAGGTAAAGAGGCGAGATTACCTGTCGCAAGTTTTGGTGCATAGGCTTGGAACCAAAAGTGGGACCAAACTTGCATTGTTGGTTCTTGCTTATCTAGAAAATGCAGTGCGTTTTTAGAGGCCATTAACTCCGACGACTTGTGCAAATTAGGCACGTCGAATTGAATGCTATGTATAGCAATCTCAGAGAAGCCTAGGAAATACCTTAACCAAGAAACCCTACTATTGACCAACGAAGAATAAAAATTCTCCTTTTTTCTGCAGCACAGGATGCAGTTAATTAGATTAAGATCGTTTGAATTTTAATTGCATCTCGAGAGCACTCAGCGACAAGTTTCAGGTTTGTGCATATTTTCTTGCCTGTCGCATCCTTGCGCGCGGCCTAGGCCGATGGAAGTTGCGTATTTCTAGGACTGAGGAAATCGAAATCGATGGAAGTGAGTCACTCCGAAAATGAAGATGAATAGTTTGCGTATCCGTACTAATATAATATATATTGGACTTGATTATAAAATCTACATCGGAATATCGTGCCAATGTAGCGTCACTTGTTCATAAATATAAATATACCTTGTCTTTGCTGGTAATGTCCTTCTGCCTATATCCTAGCCGCCCAGCGGT